TTCACAAACACACTTCAGCATGTTACATTCTGTAGATAAGCGTACACAGCAGCAGCCTATCTACTTCCACTCTTAAGGCTGAGGACAGATGTTGAGATTGAGAGTGTGTTAAGAGTGATACTGTAACATTGACTTCCTATTTCTTTAGAAGATTAGGGTCAAACATTCCCCACACTGTGATTGCAACATCACATGATCAAACTGACTGGATTGGTTTGAGCTGGTTAGGGCTGATTGGTAATATGATATTTAACAGGACAATAATATCAACAGCAAGTCTTCAATAGGCCACTATGGCTCTTTTTACAACTACAGTTAGATGTGACCACATTTATATGTGAAAACACAAACTGTTATTTATGAATAACGTGAGGTTGCATTAAGTGAAAAGTTTAGATCATTTACTGCACTTTAAAAACATTGCTGTAGGGGTGTTGCAGTATACGCACTGATGATAACCATGATACAGTATTACAGTAAAACAAAACAAAACAAAAAAATAATAAAAAGATGTTAATACTACACATACGAAAAACACTGCTGTAGGGGTGTTGCAGTATACGCACTGATGATAACCATGATACAGTATTACAGTAAAACAAAACAAAACAAAAAAATAATAAAAAGATGTTAATACTACACATACGAAAAACACTGCTGTAGGGGTGTTGCAGTATACGCACTGATGATAACCATGATACAGTATTACAGTAAAACAAAACAAAACAAAAAAATAATAAAAAGATGTTAATACTACACATACGATATTATTGTAAGTAATCCAGTGACTAACTATCTGGTTGAGGCTCCAACGCAGTGGGTTGAGCCAGTGTGTAGCTGTCACACAAAATCATCTCAGAGGAGATGACAAGCGAAAGATTTTTGGATTCTGTAAAAAAGTTGAGGTGTTAGAAACCCCAGTCTGCAGAAAGTGCTTATCAACAGTAATTCTAAAAACACTTTAACTGAAGCCTTTACGTATAATGCACTTTAAGGGTACTCATAATCAGTGTTGGGCAGTAACTAGTTACTAGTAACTTAGTTACTGTAATAATATACATTTTTGAAGTAACTAGTAGTGTAACTAATTACAAATAAGATTTCAGTAATAATATTACAGTTACCATCCATAAAACAGCTTAGTTTCTTAGTTACTTTTGATGCCTCAACCCCGCTGATATAAAATCCAACAATCAAATAATTTCTGAAAATAAACCCTAGATTTATTTTCATAATTTCCACGACTCGCACATGCATGTGATGTCCCCAGTGCAGCAGGCAAGCTTGGAATATGGAAAAGCTTACATTCAGCAGATAGAAATATTGCATTATATTGATTTTGTCAGGAAAAAAGATGATCTGAACACTGTTGTGTAAGTTGTGGCTTTACTTTACTCTGGCATTACATCCCACCCACATCCCTCTGATCAGCATGTGGTACATTATATTACTATTACTAAAAATCTTTTTGGAAAATTAAACGGTCTCTACAAAATGTGATTTGATAAAATACATAATGAAATATAATCGTATATGGGTAACGGAGAAATTACAATTAGCTTCAAGCTACACATGACAATTAATGAGATTAATACAACACTTCTACTTGAATGTCACTATCAATCACTATTGAGTGTTTGTAATAACTTCTGACTGCGATCCAATGTGGATTTTGGTCAAATGATGAGGCAGAAATATGTTGTTAGTAACATTCTAGATTAAGAATTTTATATGGAAGATACACAGTTACAACTTCTGTGGGGCATGAAGAAAAGGTAACGTAGCTAGTAGTGTAACTAATTACTGTTGCCAGAAAGTAATAAGTAACAACATTACTTTTGAAAGCAGTAACATAAAAATATGTAAAATATTACATTCTTTGAGTAACTAGCCCAACACTGCTCATAATGCATGTTGTAATGCATTTTTATCTATTCTTAAATAATTGTAACTAAGGGTAAAATGCATTATATTAATATTTTTATTACTCTTGTTACATTTGAAATAGGTTGTTTGTCATATGGTTTAATAAAATATACTTTATAAAGGTAAACAATGAATGGATAATTATTACAATGTAATATATCTGTGGTTAGTATTCTTCATGAGATAAGACAATGCACTGTAAGATATATCACAAGGCCAAATGAATGCATTAATACTTTTAATAATGCATTATATATAACAGGTTCAAGTTCTTTTTGGAATCTCCTGTTAAAAGATAAATAAATAAAAAAATAAAAATCTGACTGACTGACAGCATTATTTATGTATTTATTTAATTTCTATACTTATTGCGTTAATTATTTGGGCCACAATAATCATGTAGTAAAAATCTGCCAAAGACATTCATGTGAAGTGTGAAGTATAGTGTAACCTCAATTCATATTGCTTACATAACACATAACAAAAATGCATTTACACCATTAAATGTGTCATAATCCATGTCAAACCACCTACAAATATGTTTTCAGTGATTCGATCACGACCCAATCATAATGTCTCATTTTATGACAGTAAACGAATATTAATTCCAGGTGTAAATGGGGCAACTGGCCTCTTTTATTCAAGGACACATTTAACTAAAATGCCATTTGACACTGAGGCAACTTAGTTTTTAGTCAGTAGCAGTCGACATGGACCTTCATTGGATTCTGTTGAGTGTCTCTATGTTTGTGTGAGTTTATGTGGGGGTGTGTACATGTGGGTGAGAGTATATGTGAGTGCATCTGTGTGTATATGATGGATAGAGCTGTGAGTGGAAATAAAGGCATGAATAGAGTCCAATACTACAAGTCTCTAATCTGGAAAATGTATATAAATATAAAAGTAAGGGGGAGAAGGATGGCCTTCCAACCTCACATATACACGCATGCAAATGTACTGTATATGTGCACACCTGATTTTAAAACTGGACCACTCAGATACAGCACGAGACGTAGACAGATGTGACAGTAGGTCAGAGGGCAGAGGACTGTGTGAGTGTGTTCAGACAGGATACTGACAGTCAAACACTTGTCTCTGTCTGATAAGTGCTGACCCATAAACAGTTAGAATCAATGACTCCAGTGAATATACAAAGGCAACACATACACACACATTGTATTGCATAACAATCTGCTTTTATGCAATAATCTTGTAAGGCACTGACACATGTATTCTCAATGGCTGAAAATCCCACAAAATCTGCAAAAGAGCTGCAGTTCAAGCGTTTACATATGAGGGGCGCAACCACCAGGGGGGCGTAGGGAGTTTTGCAGAAAAATGGAGAAAAAAACAACACAAAAAAAACAGAAACCACTGTGGCAACAGCATTTAAGTGTGCGAATGGCGGTTGGCTTTCTGCCTTTTATAAAGCGGCGTCAGTCGCCAATTCCTCTAAATCTTTCTCATTCAAACCATTTACTTTGCACCATCTGACCCAGCCCGATACAGAAGATCCTCTCCATCGAAGAGCACCGCTTCAGCGAACGGCATCACAAGCTGCTAATGTGAACTCAACCTTCAACAGCAACACAAATATCGTGTCTCCACTGGACGCAACCGTTGTTATGCTGCAACAGCTAAAAATCTGTCTATGCTGGACATGACAAAGTGACCGATGCAAATCCATTTGTCCTTCCATGTCAGTAGTAGTGCAAGCGCTTAGAGCATGTCAGAAATAGAATGGGCCGTCAAGCTTACTGTCGGGATTTGTCGCATTGCACCGCATTCAATTGAGATGGGTTCAAATTGTCTTTAGTCGCATCGTGTTGCGCTGCTCACGTCCGGTGTAGACATGGTTAAAAAGTGAAACAACTGTATGTTTTTTTTTATTAAAGGGGAAGCATGACCAAAAATTTGAAAACCACTGCCTTAGAGAATTTGCAAGGTTTAGCATTTTTAAAAAAAACTAGAAATATCATAAAAACTGCATTGTTTACTTATTAATTAGTACTGCAGAACTTGATTGTATTTTAGTACTGAAGAAGCTGCATAACAGACATTTACAAATATTCCACAAGACAAATAAATGCAATTGCAGAAAGTAAAATATGCCTATGAAGTCTTGGTTGTTAGTATCATATACTGCTTCCGTGAGTACTATCCATGACTGCTTGCAGCCTTTTGTAATAACGTAGTCCTTGAGCTATCCTGAAGCTGGATCTCAACATCACTGGGCCAATGTGGGGATAAACTCAACTAGCATGCAAGAACTTAAAGTACCTGGGAGCTTTTTTTCAAGAACAGCCCACAAATGTAATGTTCTGGACAAACCAGGGGCTTATGCACTGCTATCACAAAAGGCTGCAAGCAGTTATTGATGCTTGCGGTGTCAACACCAGATATTAATAACCAGGGTATGCACAGCTATGTATGTATTGAACAGGATAATATGTTTAAATTAAGTAATTTTTTTGTCTTGTGGGATACGATATCATTCAAAAGTTTGGGGTCTGTAAGATTTTTTTTTTTTTTAATGAATTTAATACTTTTATTTGCCAATTAAATTGATCAAAGTGAAAGGACATTTATAATCTTCACAATATTTCTATTTCAAATAAACCTTGTTCTTTTGAACTTTATATTCGCGAAATAATCCTGAAAAATAAAATCTCATCATTCATCGTTTCATCATCATATCATCGTTTTCACAAAACAAAAAAAACAAAAACATGAAGCAGCGGTTTTTAAAATCGGTAATAAGAAATTATAAGAAAACAGTTCTTTTAAATTGCAATATTTCACAATAATACTGTATACACAATATTTCTTTTTAATGCAGACTTGGTGGACATAAGAGACTTCTTTCAAAAACATTACAAAAATCTTACCAACCTCAAACTTTTGAACTATAGTGTCTACATCAAACAGCTTCACCATAACTAAAATAAAAATTATGACAGTACTAAAACGCAATTTAAAAAAAAAAAAAAGAAAGATAAACAGATTCTGCAAGTGGCATGTCAACATTTGAGTACTGTGAGAATGGAAAGAAAAGATTTTAAGGTCAGCCGTACCCTAGATGGTCCTCTGTAGAGAGTGCGGAAATGATCCCAGGCCTGTGTCTGCTGGGCATCCAGAGTGGCTTCAGTCAACATCTGCAGAGAGAAAAACATACCAACATAACAGCTCAACATACTCACAGAACCATAACACTCCTGACTCATCCTCCAGCTAAACCACTTTAGAATGACCAGAGATAATCCTAAAGACAATTAAATGTAACATTTTGGTGAAAATACACCGGCAACATTAGAATGTGAAGGGGCAAGCCCTGCTGCCAGATATGGACTTGATAAATAGCAAACTGCGCAACTTCTAAATAAAACCCTTCAAGAATCAGAGGAGTGTTAATTGCATCAAATGTGACATTTTCATACACAAGCCTAAGATGTGGGAAAGAAAAGTGATTAAAGCCTGACGGATGTGACATTTAAAAAAAAAAAAAAACATGACATCAAAAGAAATATCAAGCTGTAGTAGAAAATAAGTAGTGAAATGCTTTGAGTTTGCTTGCCAATTAATTGTTTATGTGGTCATATGCTGCTTTTCTGTATGAATTTGAAGAATTTACACAAGTAAATATACATTATTTAATCTACAATAATCCATATTTAATCATTGTTGGACCAGATTTACAGACAGGCCCATGATACACAGTGACAGGTTCAGTTATTTAAAGACACATTCCAGTGACCTTCACACCACTCAGAATCATTTCATCACTTGGATTTCCTCAAATCAGCCTCCAGTGATCCAAAACCTCTCGGTCTCTGTCATCCGTCAATGACTTCTCCAGTCCCAAAGGCATGAAGTCAAGCACGCACCCTAAAGATCTGCCAAACTTTGCCCAGAGACGGTTTTCAAAAGAATGTTCCAGAATTAAACAAAGTGCACTCTTAAAAATAAAGGTGCTTCACGATGCCATAGAAGAACCTTTTTGTCTAAATGGTTCCATAAAGAACCTTTAACATCTGAAGAACATTTCTGCTTCACACAAGGTTCTTTGTGGCGAAATAGGGTTCTTCAGATTACAAAAACGCAAGAAAGAGATGGTTCTTTAAAGAACCTTTGACTGAATGCTTCTTTGTGGAACCAAAAATGGTTCTTCTATGGCATCGCTTGAAGAACCTTTTGAAGCACCTTTATTTTTAAGAGTGTGCATCCTCACTTTACCTCACTGGGTCTCTATATATAATCAGAGTCGGGTTTGAGTGGCACAAAAGACAAATGCTACTGTCACTGCAGAAAAGTAAATGCAATTATTGCGCCCTCCCTTCAGCAGAAAGAAGGAGATGAACATTGTCACGCTGTTTCAGCTGTCTCTGTACGCAGGGAGCTGAGCTGGAGGACGTCAATTTTGCGTGACAGTGTTGTGGGAAAGGTAGGATAATTTGGTGGAGTGTTCATTAAATCCGTTATTTACGCATGGCTTATTTAAATAAACCAATTACACACTTTTTGATAGCCCAATGTATTTCATTGCTTAAAAAAAAAACAGTAAAAGCCACTTTTCTGCACCTCGAGACATCAGGAGGAGCATTTCAGCCAACTAGACAAGGTGTTGAAATTGTTTAGAGAACATCTGATTTAATTCTAAAGATCTGCCATTT